ACATTGGGCCGTGCGCTTTGATTTATACACCTTGATCCGTGCGTTTTGATTCACACACCTTGGGCCGTGCGTTTTGATTTACACGCCTTGATCCGTGCGTTTTGATTTACACACAATGGTCCGTGCGTTTTGATTCACACACATTGGGCCGTGCGTTTTTATTCACACTCCTTGATCCTTGCGTTTTGATTTACACACCTTGATCCGTGCGCTTTGATTTACACACATTGGTCCGTGCGTTTCGGAAGAAAAATAAAACCAAAATATATCATTTCGAAGGTTTGTCGTGTAGTCTTGTTAGGACGTGTTTATAGTAAATATCGATTTGCCACGGAAACGTCCAAAGGTCTTCGGACTTCGATCGACAAAGATTTAATTCAACAGTTTTCTATAGCGAGCATAACGAACACTTTATGATATTACGTGTGGTAATTCAAAACAAGCGAACTGCACATATCCGTCTTAAACGGAAGTGTCGTTGGAACTTCATATCCTCAATACACTTACTTCAGCACGCAATACCAACTGCCGACCCATCACGTGCATGTTTTGATGTGTATGAGCATGTCACATGTGAATGATGTGTTTGGAAAATGAGAGCCATCCGGTGAGAGCAAAAGTTTTGTAATGTTATATATTTATCTTTGTCTTAGTCAATGAAATGTTTGTCTGTTTGTCTCGTTAATAGACAAAATATCTTTTCAAGCTTTCATGAGAAAATGAAATCATACTAAAAGTACTAAATAATTCTAATGAATTTAACATACATATTCGCTAATAGTTGGAAAAGCATGTTGCTCTGTGGACAACCCGTTGAAAATCTCAATTGATGACTTCTTGCATGAATGTCGTAATAATGGGAACAGGACCTTGGATATCAAATCACCTCCGACATGTTAACACTAAAGGTGGGGATGTAGGAATATGGCTATACAGAAATGGAAAATTCACAATAGATAAACTGAAATCATCGCGTTTATCAAACAGTTTGGTGGAAAGCTGTCCATATTGGTTCCGTTGAAAAAAGGGGGTTAAGCATCTGATGTAGATGAGTCTGTCGTGTCTTTGATTTCCAACAGAGGGACACATTTAGTTCCCATAGGTATGCCAAAGTCTGTTGGAAGATCTTACTACTAAACTTTATAAAATTTATTGTCAACCAGAAACACGATCATTCTTATGATTTCGTCCTTGGTGTATTTATTCTGTGATTTGGACGTATGTTTTACGAACAAGTTCCTAATCATATATTTGTACCGCCGTTTACCTCCCTTGGAAAAGAAAGCTCTCATATATAGAACGAAGCGTTCTCTCGATTTAGAATGGAGTATGGTGGTGTACAGATTGGAAAATAAAATGTATAGAAAAAAAATATGTTTTCAGAAGAGGGTGTTGAAGATTGGTCAAAAACTGTTGTGTTCTTCAAAATCCACATTCCATTTATTGAGTAAACAGTATCACAATAAGACTGTAACCTAGAATTTCTAGTACTTAGGATGGTGCTTAATAGTTTAGGCAAGCCAGTAATAAAGCGTTGCTTTTAAATTATTGCGATCCAGTATAGACGGAGGAAGTCCGTATCCACATCATTAATAGGCAATCTAGAGGATTGTAATATCGAACCATGATTAGCCAGTATTTCTTCTTTGGAAAGATTGTATAGTGTATAGGTGGGATTTCCTTCGTTATCAAGCAAGCCTAGTTCTATTGTATACAGGAGATGTGAATTTTTTTCCAGACAAGTTATTATGTACCTATATTGACTTTGTTTACTTTCGAACATCGGCATTATTTTTATTGATCTATAGATAAGAAAATAATGTTCAATTAAAGTCAAAACAACGAGTTTTGTTTGGTCCTCCTGTTGTATACAACGTTCACGTCATTACTTATGTCATATGTCTACAAGAAACCTGTAGATAGTTTAAGGGGTAACATTCTCTACCCTGATAACCTTTTTAAATACTAGACATGTTCTTAAATTACAAAAATATCATATTGACCACCTATGCTAATGTTTGGGAAGCTTTGTACCATTACATGGTGTAAAAGAGAGTAACAACAACACTGGAATCGAAAATGTCTACAGCTTCTCAGGAATCAACTTGCATTTCCGAAAATGAGTCTTATGGAAATCGGATGTAAATTACCCAATTATCGGTCAATTCATTTTGTATGTGACCACTTAGTGTCCAGTCTGTGCGCGTGCAAGTCTCTTCTGTCGGTTGATTTAGAAAATAATTGCAATTTATAAGTAGTTTGCATTCTCCATGAATATTTTTCTGTGTTGCCGTCAATCGATCGATAACAAGTCCTAGTCAGACTCAGATGAAAGCAGACTTTGTCAAGATCGCGTGAGCTCTTGTTTTATTTATTTACTTTAGATTGCATCACCTTTTAGGTCATGTACGAATTAGCATAAGATAAAGGAGAGGAAAATACTGAATTAAACGGCTACATACAGACACTTCGTCCTTCTAGGCCTCATCAGTGATGCTAAGAGTCTGAAGTGTTAAATCCAGGGACACGACAGAGACGTACATGTCCATTGATCTTGTATCTAGCCGTTGGGCCACCCTGGTCTAATGTCTACGAGAAGTGGCGTTAGGAATGATCATCTGAGAAACGATCCCGGAGAAATCACCTCTTTACAAACACACCATGACTGTGCTATTTGTATGTGGACTGATTTAGAGAGAATTATATCTTGGGTTTTAAATGGTCAGAAGATGACATTTACATGAATATGGATTTGTAGCTTGAGTTTTATGGAACTATTATTAAATTTTATAATGACATATTATGGTGACCAAATCGTTGTTATTTATTGTACGCCCGTCTAATTCGACGGATGTATAATGGTGTACCGTCCGTGTTCATTCATCCATCCATCCGTCCGTCTAGGCGTCCGTCTGTCTGTCAGTATCTGTTTAACGTTTTGGTATAGGTTTATTCAGTCTTCACTTCCGTCAGATAATGATTTATTATCCTGAATGTTGTCATGGAGATGTGGAGACTAACGATTATAAAAAGGGTTTAATTTGTAAAATAGATTTTCTAATTCTCTTTGTATCTTTTTGTAGACATTTTTTTAGTGAATATCTTTACACACGTTTCTTCACATCGATCACATAATGCGTTATGTCCAGAGTTTTGGCATAAGATTTGGAATTGATTATTTTGCATCCGTTTGCGATGCTTTTTCTGACAATTAATTTAATAGTACATTCTTACTATGTCCATGCATTCTACCAACAATAACACGAGGCCTAGGAGTCTTAACATTAACCAGAGCTCTACAAAATTTCCTATTTTATCTTGAGATATGTCATCTATTTATTTTTTCCTGACAAAGTAAGATCCGTTGAACGATGTAGTATCTTCGCCAAGCACACTAACATTCTTCTACAGTAAGAACCTGCTAAAGACATTCCTATCTTCCTATGGAACATCAAGTATACTAATTAAGAAATGATGAGCATCTGTTTCTTAAATCTGTTCGACCGAAGGAGGAAACTCACAAGTTTTAGATAATCTGATATCTGTTGGTCCCGTTCATCTAGTTTCTTGGCGTCACTGAGAGTACAATGTGCACAGCATCAAACATTTTTTTTATGATTTTTGTGATGGCATGTTTTAATTCGAATTTCCCTCCAGAAATTTAATTTCGATTCAACAAGATCCTGGGGTCATAAATTTCTCAGTGTTGGAATTGTTGAACTAACAGTTAATTTGACCCCCAATGCCACTGTCAATACGCCCATGTGTTAAGTAAAGGACAATGTATGCATACTTATAATTACGACCAAGTTTGATTCATTTCCAAATGCCATTATATATAAACTGTAAGAAACTATATCCCCTCCCAAGATGGAAATGTGGGATCAAAGAGTTAAATGGATAAAAACAAATTAAGATCTTGTCATCAATGCAGATTATCTTATTCTAATAAAGACGTCAATCTTACTCATTATGGCCTCGCCCCTCTGTCCTAAGATGGTGGGAGGTGGTGATAAGAAACCGTAAAATTCACTAGTTTGGTTCACCTTTCGCCATGGAAAGTTTAAGTAAAACTGATTCTGTGCTCCTTGGGAAAAACAGTTAGATCTATCAATTGTTCACAGACAGACGACACACGAGGCATGCAGGACGTGCATAAGGTCACTTTAGACTAGGTCTCAGTTGACATACAGATGCAATAAACTAAGTTCGCGTCAGACGATCGACCACCCATTTAATATTCTCCGTGTGGTGCATTAACGCTGCTTAAGATTAACTTGTGCTATTGATCGTAAATTAATTCCGACATGATATATGATCATTGACTTGGCACCTGGTATCTCACGCTTTGGAATTTGCAATCATCACGATTATATAACATGCCAACAACCGTGATATAAATGTATGTTTCAGAGAAATGATATAGATCCTCTTAGTTAGGTAGGCATAGAGACGGATGACCTCTCTTGGGGCTGAAAGGCTTTAGGTGTACGAGTGAGAGTTCTGTTACTAACACGTTTGTCGGAGCTGACCTCGGGCACCACTGTTGTTGATCCTTTCGTATCGATTTCAGTAATTAATTGGTTCCGATAGTGATGTAAGGAGTCGGGGACTGCTGGTGCAGCGTCGATCTGTACGCGATCTGCCTTCCACGTGACTGTGTTTAGTCATCTTTAATCTTAAACTACACGAAATTTGGAATGCCATGTAGTTTGGCACGCAGATGGAAAACTAGACGAATATGCATGACTTTAGAATTCGCTGCCCATGAGAGGTAATTATAGTATATGTAAAGATCTTTTAGAAAATAAACATATTTGATAATCGTGGCCCAGATGTCTTAAAATATTGTCAGTGAGTTTTGTAACTTTGGTAACAATCATCCATTTATAGAGAGTATTTGTTTCTAACGTTTGTGTGTCTTAAGAAAAAGATTTTCGAAGTTTCTGTCAATATTATCCAGTTTTGACCGACGACCCTCAGGCCCCTCGGGAATCAGTATGATTAACAGTTTTGACCGACGACCCTCAGGCCCCTCGGGAATCAGTACGATTAACAGTTTTGACCCACGACCCTCAGGCACCTCGGGAATCAGTATGATTAACTGTTTTGACCGACGACTCTCAGGCCCCTCGGGAATCAGTCTGATTAACAGTTTTGACCCACGACCCTCAGGCCCCTCGGGAATCAGTATGATTAACAGTTTTGACCCACGACCCTCAGGCCCCTCGGGAATCAGTATGATTAACAGTTTTGACCCACGACCCTCAGGCCCCTCGGGAATCAGTATGATTAACAGTTTTGACCGACGACCCTCAGGCCCCTCGGGATTCAGTATGATTAACAGTTTTGACCCACGACCCTCAGGCCCCTCGGGAATCAGTATGATTAACAGTTTTGACCCACGACCGTCAGGCCCCTCGGGAATCAGTATGATTAACAGTTTTGACCCACGACCCTCAGGCCCCTCGGGAATCAGTATGATTAACAGTTTTGACCCACGACCCTCAGGCCCCTCGGGAATCAGTATGATTAACAGTTTTGACCCACGACCCTCAGGCCCCTCGGGAATCAGTATGATTAACAGTTTTGACCCACGACTCTCAGGCCCCTCGGGAATCAGTATGATTAACAGTTTTGACCCACGACCCTCAGGCCCCTCGGGAATCAGTATGATTAACAGTTTTGACCCACGACTCTCAGGCCCCTCGGGAATCAGTATGATTAACAGTTTTGACCCACGACCCTCAGGCCCCTCGGGAATCAGTATGATTAACAGTTTTGACCGACGACCCTCAGGCCCCTCGGGAATCAGTATGATTAACAGTTTTGGTTCATCATTCTGTATGGAAAATTTCAGTAAATTTTGCTTTTTATCTTAGGAAATAGTCGAAAAAGTAAATTTTGAGTTGCTTCAGAATTTGCAACATGTACGATTATTTAAACACCAAGAAAATATCAAAATGTCAACAAAATTGCAACCCTAACTCAAATTCATTAAAACTCGCGCACAATATAAACAGAAAAGAAAACAATAACATGGAGACTCCTAAAAGTACAAGGAGACCAACACGAGATGTTCCGCTTCATCACTCGCCATGTAAATCTTTGGCAATATAAATAGTAATGTCACGTTCTCAAATGAGAACAAGTATATAACAATGGAACCAACCAGCAAAACAACGAGCATCCGGCGCGTCTGGCTTTATATCTAAAAAAAATATCAACGACGACTTCTTTCACGAAGATTGCTGTCATGGGAACAGGCCCTCGAATACTGAATCAGCCACAGCATGTAAACATAATAGGTTGTGGACGAGGGAATGATACTATACAGAAATGGAAAATTAATCAAAGGGTAATTGAAATCAGCACGCTTATCATACACCTTGGTGGAATGCTGTCCATTTCGTTTTCGTTGTGAGAAAAGACCGGGATAAGCGGCCGACGAAGAAGAGTCTGTCGTGTCTTTGTTTTTCAGTCTGGTGGGTATATATGATGGACGAGGTCATTAATTTTTTGTTATCAGAAGACGTCATCAATATATCTGAAAATGGAATTAACCGACTTTGAAATATTCCAATGGCTCGTTTTGATAAGCTCTCCAAAGAATTCATTCTCGCATTAAAACAAAAACGAAGATGGAAACTTAATCTCCTATAACGATCAAGTGGCGCCCCACAATTAGTTCTATAACGATCAAGTGGCGACCCACAATTTGTCTCCTATAACGATCAATTGGCGCACCACAATTAGTCTCCTATAACGATCAGGTGACGCCTAACCATTAGTCTCCTATAACGACCAAGTGACGCCCCACAATTAATTCCTATAACGACCAAGTGGCGCTTCACAATTAGTCTCCTAAAACGATCAATTGGCGCCCCACAATTAGTTTCTATAACGATCAGGTTGCGCCCCACAATTAGTCTCCTATAACGATCAATTGGCGCCCGACAATTAGTCTCCTATAACGATCAAGTGGCGCCCCAATTAGTTTCTATAACGATCAGGTGGCGCCCCACAATTAGTCTCCTATAACGATTAAGTGGCGCCCAACAATTAGTCTCCAATAACGATCAAGTGACGCTCCACAATTAGTTTCTATAACGATCAAATGACGCTCCACAATTAGTCTCCTATAACGATCAATTGGCGCCCCACAATTAGTCTCCTATAACGATTAAGTGGCACCCAACAATTAGTCTTCAATAACGATCAAGTGACGCTCCACAATTAGTTTCTATAACGATCAAGTGACGCTCCACAATTAGTTTCTATAACGACCAAGTGACGCTTCACAATTAGTCTCCTATAACGATCAATTGGCGCCCGACAATTAGTCTCCTATAACGATCAAGTGGCGCCCCTAATAAGTTTCTATAACGATCAGGTGGCGCCCTACAATTACTCTCCTATAACGATCAATTGGCGCCCGACAATTAGTTCTATAACGATCAAGTGGCGACCCACAATTTGTCTCCTATAACGATCAATTGGCGCACCACAATTAGTCTCCTATAACGATCAGGTGGCGCTCCACAATTAGCCTCCTATAACGATCAATTGGCGCCCGACAATTAGTCTCTATAACGATCAAGTGGCGCCCCCAATTAGTTTCTATAACGATCAGGTGGCGCCCCACAATTAGTTTCTATAACGATCAGGTGGCGCCCCACAATTAGTCTCCTATAACGATCAATTGGCGCCCCACAATTAGTCTCCTATAACGATCAAGTGGCGCCCCACAATTAGTCTCCTATAACGATCAAGTGGCGCCCCACAATTAGTCTCCTATAACGATCAAGTGACGCCCCACAATTAGTCTCCTATAACGATCAAGTGGCGCCCCACAATTAGTCTCCTATAACGATCAATTGGCGCCCCACAATTAGTCTCCTATAACGATCAAGTGGCGCCCCACAATTAGTCTCCTATAACGATCAAGTGGCGCCCCACAATTAGTCTCCTATAACGATCAAGTGGCGCCCCACAATTAGTCTCCTATAACGATCAATTGGCGCCCCACAATTAGTCTCCTATAACGATCAATTGGCGCCCGACAATTAGTCTCCTAAAACGATCAATTGGCGCCCCACAATTAGTCTCCTATAACGATTAAGTGCGCAATTAGTTTCCATAATTACAATTAGTCTCCTATAACGATCAAGTGGCGCCCCACAATTAGTCTCCTATAACGATCAATTGGCGCCCGACAATTAGTCTCCTATAACGATCAAGTGGCGCCCCACAATTAGTCTCCTATAACGATCAAGTGGCGCCTACAATTTGTCTCCTATAACGATCAAGTGACGCTCCACAATTAGTCTCCTATAACGATCAATTGGCGCCCGACAATTAGTCTCTATAACGATCAAGTGGCGCCTACAATTAGTTTCTATAACGATCAAGTGGCGCCCCACAATTAGTCTCCTATAACGATCAAGTGACGCTCCACAATTAGTCTCCTATAACGATCAAGTGGCGCCTACTCCTATAACGATCAAGTGGCGCCTACAATTAGTTTCTATAACGATAAAGTGGCGCCCCACAATTAGTCTCCTATAACGGTCAAGTGGCGCCTACAATTAGTTTCTATAACGATCAAACAATTAGTTTCTATAACGATCAAGTGGCGCCCCACAATTAGTCTCCTATAACGGTCAAGTGGCGCCTACAATTAGTTTCTATAACGATCAAGTGGCGCCCCACAATTAGTCTCCTATAACGATCAAGTGGCGCCCCACAATTAGTCTCCTATAACGATCAAGTGGCGCCCCACAATTAGTCTCCTATAACGATCAAGTGGCGCCCCACAATTAGTCTCCTATAACGATCAGCGCCCCACAATTAGTCTCCTATAACGATCAAGTGGCGCCCCACAATTAGTCTCCTATAACGATCAAGTGACGCCCCACAATTAGTCTCCTATAACGATCAAGTGGCGCCCCAATTAGTTTCTATAACGATCAAGTGGCGCCCCACAATTAGTCTCCTATAACGATCAAGTGGCGCCCCACAATTAGTCTCCTATAACGATCAAGCGACGCTCCACAATTAGTCTCCTATAACGATCAAGTGGCGTCCCACGATTAGTTTCTATAACGATCAGGTGGCGCCCCACAATTAGTCTCCTATAACGATCAAGTGGCGCCAAACAATTAGTCTCCAATAACGATCAAGTGACGCTCCACAATTAGTTTCTATAACGATCAATTTAGTCTCCTATAACGATCAATGGCGCCCCACAATTAGTCTCCTATAACGATCAAGTGGCGCCTACAATTTGTCTCCTATAACGATCAAGTGACGCTCCACAATTAGTCTCCTATAACGATCAAGTGACGCTCCACAATTAGTCTCCTATAACGATCAGGTGACGCCCAACCATTAGTCTCCTATAACGACCAAGTGACGCTCCACAATTAGTCTCCTATAACGATCGATTGGCGCCTCACAATTAGTCTTCTATAACGATCAAGTGACGCTCCACAATTAGTCTCCTATAACGATCAAGTGACGCCCCACAATTAGTCTCCTATAACGACCAAGTGGCGCCCCACAATTAGTCTCCTATAACGATCAAGCGACGCTCCACAATTAGTCTCCTATAACGATCAATTGGCGCCCCACAATTAGTCTCCTATAACGATCAATTGGCGCCCGACAATTAGTCTCCTAAAACGATCAATTGGCGCCCCACAATTAGTCTCCTATAACGATTAAGTGACGCTCCACAATTAGTTTCTATAACGATCAAGTAACGCTCCACAATTAGTCTCCCATAACGATCAATAGGCGCCTCACAATTAGTCTTCTATAACGATCAAGTGACGCTCCACAATTAGTCTCCCATAACGATCAATAGGCGCCTAACAATTAGTCTTCTATAACGATCAATTGGCGCCTCACAATTAGTCTCCTATAACGATCAATTGGCGCCTCACAATTAGTCTCCTATAACGATCAAGTGACGCCCCACAATTAGTCTTCTATAACGATCAAACGACCAGTGGCGCTTCACAATTAGTTTCTATAACGATCAATTGGCGCCCCACAATTAGTCTTCTATAACGATCAATTTGCGCCTCACAATTAGTCTCCTATAACGATCAATTGGCGCCTCACAATTAATCTTCTATAACGATCAATTGGCGCCTCACAATTAGTTTCCTATAACGATCAATTGGTGCCTCACAATTAGTCTTCTATAACGATCAATTGGCGCCTCACAATTAGTCTCCTATGGCGATCAAGTGGCGACCCACAATTAGTGCCTATAACGATCAAGTGGCGCCCCACAATTAGTGCCTAAAACGATCATGTGGCGACCCACAATTAGTGCCTATAACTATCAAGTGGCGCCCCACAATTAGTGCCTATAACGATCAAGTGGCGCCCCACAATTAGTCTCCAATAACGATCAAGTGGTTATACAAACGTTTATAGCGTGAAATATGAATTTCTTTAAACAATTAAAACAGTAGCAGAATATGATAGAGAGAATAGATACAAATTGACAGCACATCAGTTATTGTGAAACAGTAATATGTCGTAAAATCTATTTACAAAGTGTTAATGACATCGATGTGATGAGAATGTCAAACATCGTTTTGATACCTTCACTTGGCTTTCCTTACGGACAACTTCTTTCTCTGTAATTGTTCTAATCTATTGTTCGCACAAAATATACTATTGATGCTATTTTTGTTAGCTGTCGGATCATTGCTAGAAATGATCCTAAGAGTATATACTTCAATATTGCGATGGATACCACCTCTGGTATTAACTTTTCAGGTCGAAAATTAAATGAAAAAAAAATTCTATTTACAAATTCATTTTTGTTTTATTGAGGGAAAAGGTTGTTTCTCTTTTTTTTTCA